GATTGGACGAAGAATTGTGTCTGAAGCTTTACGCCACTTCTTAATTGGTTTGTATGATTGTCTTATTTCCTTTTTCATGTTGCGCATGGATTATAAAATTCTCTTTGAAGTGATTGCTCTTGTGATTTGAGCATAATTATTAAGTATTGGCAATGGATGAAGTTAACTTTTACCTATTTTTTGATTCTTATGTTTTTGTTTGTGCAGATATAGTGGATAAATTCTGAGATCATGAAGAACAAAGATGGAAAACCAACATCTTACCCCGATAAAGGTTCAAGGACAGTCCCCATGGCAATAATGTTTGTTGTGCTATGTGGGTTTTCATTCTATCTTGGTGGAATATTTTGCTCTGAAAAGGACAGATATGTTGCCAAGGACATCACCAAAGCAGTCGAAACTGCCAAGCAAACAGCTGCAGGTCCACTAAAAATCAAGGCTGTAACCTTTCCTGAATGTGGCATAGATTATCAGGACTACACTCCTTGCACGGATCCAAGGGTATTTTCTATTGGTTTACTTGTTTGGGTTGCGATCTTTTTATTATGCTGTAATAAGATTTTAAATGGGTGATTGTCACAGAGGTGGAAGAAATACAGTCTTCATAGGCTTACTTTTATGGAGCGGCATTGCCCTCCGGTGTTCGAAAAGAAGGAATGCTTAGTTCCCCCGCCTGATGGGTATAAGTTGCCGATCAGATGGCCTAAGAGCAGAGATGAAAGTTGGTACAGGTAATAACCATTTTACTGGCCTTGCAAAGAAATTCTGATTTAAAGCACGTTTTTGTAATTTTTTATGTCCGAAAGTGTGATCTTTCATAAATTTCATACAATTCAATATTTGGATCTGGCTCAGAAATGTTCCGTATGATTGGATTAACAAGCAAAAATCAAACCAACATTGGCTGAAGAAAGAAGGGGAGAAGTTCCTCTTCCCAGGTGGCGGCACAATGTTTCCTAATGGTGTCAGTGAATATGTTGATTCGATGCAAGCTCTGATACCCGGCATGAAGGATGGAACTATCCGCACTGCCATTGATACTGGATGTGGAGTGAGTATACATCATATAATTTTTATCCGTGGGCCTACTCTATGTTTACATTTTTTCATAAGATTTTTTCTTGCTTAGGTTATCGTCTTTGTGGATTGGATGGATATTAATTTTTTTATTTGAAATTTATGACATTTACTTGTTTAGGTCGCGAGTTGGGGAGGTGATTTACTAGACCGTGGGATTCTTACAATCTCTCTTGCACCTAGAGATAATCACGAAGCTCAAGTTCAATTTGCTCTGGAACGTGGAATTCCTGCAATTCTGGGCATCATCTCAACCCAGCGACTTCCTTTCCCTTCAAACTCATTTGACATGGCACATTGCTCAAGATGCCTAATTCCATGGACCGAATATGGTAATCACCCACGTATTATTTTAGATCGAAACACGTACTTACTTTTCTCTATAATTAAGTAGTTACATGGGTCAAATCAAAACCCTGTTCAACTATGCGAATCATCTTCTCATCCTTAACATCTCCCAAATTTATCTACGAATCTGAAAGCAGTAGCTTGTCCATATTTGCACAAAATTTGTGTCATCCTGGACATGTGTAAGTTGTTGAACAACTCATCTAAAAGCTTAAACCGGTAAAGGTGCGAGACATTCACTTATTTGAATTTAGTCTTCAACTCAACCATTCATATGCAGGTTGAAATCCATCTTCACCCCCCCCCCCCCCCCCCCCCCCCCCCCCCCCC